TCTATTTACTTGTGACCACGCTGTGTAGTATATTTTGAACATGTTCTTTAATACTTGCATTCAAACAACGAATTGTAGAGCCCAAATAACCATGGTTACACCGTGGACATGTAAATTTATAGATGATGTAATAGCGATGCATTTTAGGGATCCTGTCTTTAAATTTATAATACTTACATATATGACATATCAGTATGAAAACAATTATAAACTTAATTTGTGGATAAGTTTTTTTAATTCAAAATTGCTTTAATCTTTTTCTTCAATTCTATTGCATGTTTGCAGTACAAGGTAGAATACTAGAAACTATATCTTTAGTTTTTGAAAACTTTATATTTTGTACTTCTTCATGGAATCCAGGGAAGAAACTAAATTATAATCTTAATGAATTAAATTATAAATTCTTCTTAAACTCAAAAGGCAAAAAGCTGTCAAAATGAAAATATTGCCCAGTAAATGTTAGTTTGCACAAGATGTGTCCTGAGTTGAACATAAACCAAAAGCTCATTCTTTTTCTCGGCACTGGAGTATTCAGTCAGATTCTTTTTTTAGAAAAAAAAAAGACTAACTAAATTTGTTCAGTTATTATTTTCAACTTTTAGTTAACATTCAAAGTGTTATCTTTCTTACCTCAATTTTTTTTTATTTCTAGAAATAATGATACAGGCTTTTAAATTGATTTCAGTTAGAAGTTCTTATTTGAATTATTATCTTCTATTATATTACTTTGATTTATTCTCTTAACCAAACTACATGATTTTGGGACACTTGTTCTGGAGCCTGTGATTTGGTTTTTTGACATAATTCCCCATCATCACTAACCCAGTGTTCAGGTTTCAGCAGAAGGTAATAATTAATCTCAGTTTTCTCAATACAAAAGTGATCACAGTCTAGGTACCACAGACATACCATACCTAGTGAAAACAACAACAACAACATAGAAATAATAATACTGATACTTTCCATTTTCATAGATCTTATTGAATATGACTCCTTATGAACATTCCCAAGGTCCAGACTTTCCTCCGTAGAAGTTGTCTTATTTTCTTTAAATGGCAATTGGAGTTACGGTGATGGTGAGCAATGTTACTGCCATTGTATATCCTTGTTGGTTCTATTCTACATCATTCATGGCCTCGTATTTTAACTTCTGTTGAGCCTGCCTTGTCTTTGGATGCCTTTGACTAGCTCTTTCCAAAACTCATCTTTGCTCCTTGTTCTTCTATCCCTGATGAGGATCAAGTAACACTCACATTTGTCCTTTGCTGCTCTGTTAACTCAGCTACATGACTGTTCTTTTACTCCAGTTGTTTCTGCTGGTTCTCAGATGAACTTCTTGGATGCACTTCAACACTAAAAATTTCTTTTCTTCCTCCCTTGGCTGATTGTTATATTCTCTTTCATATTGACTCTTAGTTACTCCAAACTTAAACTCCGTTTCTCTTGCCTGTGGTTGGACCTTTTCTCTCTTTTTTAGCGCTCTTATCCCTTGAATATCTCCCCCTCCCCTTCCCCCAATGGCACAGCGGTATGTCAGTGTACAATGCTAGAATCCAGGTTTCGATACCCATGGTGTGCAGAGAACAGATAGCCCATTGTGTAGCTTTGTGCTTAATTACAAATAAACACACAAACTCTCACCTCACTTGTGTCTCTTCTTCCTCTGGATGTGTAGACCTTTATAAAGTATTTAGTTTTTCATTTTCTGTATTTTCTTTCTCTCAGTTTTGTTTTTCCTCCTTTTTTATTATTTTAGGTATTTATCAGTCTACATGTATTTTGTATCATGAACTGTCCAAATGAGCTTGTCACTATGTTTCATTAACCTTTTTCATTCTTTATTTCAAAACAGACCTAGAGCAAGTTTCAATTTAAACATTAAGCATTATTGACAATTGTGGGAAAATTACAATCTGTAATACTTCATAAGGACTTATAGACCACTATAAAGAAATTACAGTGTCCTTGTGTGGTCTGGTTGAAGTAAAGTTCATTATGTAAAGATCATATTTAGTTTTCGTACAGTTTTCTTATATATATGTTGTAAAAATGTATTTTTCAGTGATGCCTTTTATTATTTTCTTAATTATTTTGTAATGATTGTATAATGGTGTTTTTTATGGTATTTTTGTTCAGAGAAATCATGAGACATGCAAATAGTTAAACAGAATAATTTTACATCCTTCAAATTAAAGTTGTTTTGTGTTTGATGAGATTCTGATTAGTAGAAAAAATCTTATGCCAAAATGATATATTAGATTTCTTCTTGTTAATGTGTTTTCTAGGAAAAGCTTCATTGTAAAAGCAAGTTCATTTTGAAAATCATTGGTTTAAAATAAATCTATAGATTTATTATTGGATAATATTCAATATCTGATACATTTAAAACAAAGATTTCAAAAGGAATACAAACAAGCTTGATTCTGCCAAGTAGCTCTTGTTGAACAGCTTTGTTATGGTTTGATTACTGCTGTAGAAACTTGATATTTTTTTACTTATCTTGTATTATATACTTGTTTTCAGGATAAGACAAGGCAGTCCTGTTGAAGGTTTAGTTTCACTAGGTCTTTTGTTGTCTACAATGTATATAGGTAGGAATCGCACATTATAAAATTAATTTAGTCTAACAGAATCAATTGACTCAGAAATGTGTGTAGCTGCTTAGAAGTATTAGTTGTATTTTGAAGTGGCAAAATGGTACTCTGAAATTATATTATCTAGCAAGTGTTAAAAAATTAAACTCTTTTGTAACTAAAGTGTGCATATGAGAAAAATGGAATTTCTGTTATTTTTCCAAAATCCAACAGAATGTTTAAATTGTCAAAGATATTAGTTCCAAGCTTCATTAACCAACAAGTGTTTTATAAAAAGACTTATCAAGAGTTCTGCTTCAAAGTAAAATACAAACTACTTGAGATGTATGAAATGTGTCCTTAGGTTTATTATTATTATTATTACACCCTTCCAATCATCCAGCTTTCTATAGGCAAAAAGCTTATTCAAATTTTATCCTTTAAAATGACATGGTAGGAGAAATTAAAAGTTACATTTCTAGGAGAAGACTTATAACTTGCAAAGGAAGCTTTCATCTCATATATTTCTTTTTTGATGGTGACTTGAACATTGTGGCCAATTCAGACTCCCATTAGTAGTATGATTGAAACACAAGTATAACAGTAAACTGAAATTTTCTCATGTTTTCTACAAAGATTTAACAATAGAAAATATGTAAATATTGTAAAATCTTGAAAAGTTTAGAATTTTAGCATACCAATTTCAAGACCTCAAATTTAGTCATTTTACCTGATTGACCTGGAAGAATTTATATTGCATTTGCTAATTCATAACAATAAATGATTCTTTGATAGATTATTTAAGCAGAGCATTCATGAAAAGTAAACTGGAATGGATGGCAACTGCCTGTTGTAAACAACACAAGTATGGAAGACGATGTTTCAAAAGTCTTCCATCTTTCATCTTCAGTACCTAAAGATGGAAGACTTTGGAAACATCATCCTCCACACTTGTGTTTTTTAAAACAGGCAGTTGCTGTTTATTTCAATTTACTCATAATAAATGATTCACTGTCAATTTTGTAAAATAATTATAAATACATTAGGTGAAGGAAGAACTGACCACACTTTTTTGCAGAACAGTGTCCCATGTGAGCTGACACAACAAATGTCCCATGTTGTGGACTGACAGAAGTATATATGTTATATGTTGACAAATGATTTTCCACACATTATTGAATTTTTGTTTGAACAAATTATTCACATTACAACTAAATAGTCATACACTTCCACATGACGAACCAACCACAGGGAGGATAAGCACATTAAATAGCAGATCTTATATTATTAATGTGTGTTTGTTGCTGTTTATCATTATTCCAGATCTAATTGATTCAGCAAATGTATTTTGCATATTTTTTGTTTGATATGTATTACTTCCAAATGATAAAATGTAATTATATTGCTTAAACAGCAAAAATAAAGGTGCCTAGACTGCTCAAAAAGGGAGAAAAATTTTGGATTCTGTGACCAAAATTTTTTACCTTTCTGTTTTGAAAGTTACCCTCTTTTCAGCATTGGCCACTTTACCGTGTTCCCACCCTTGTGAGCAGAAATTGTGGTAACAATTTTCATATCCAGTCACCTTGGCCATCCTATGGTCTGTTACTTCACAGCTTAAAAAATCTTGACCCTTTTGTAGTTTAGTTGAAGTGTTATTAGTTATGGTCTACATCTAATCCACAATGCATTCAAAAACTTGACTATATATATATATATATATATATATGTGTGTGTGTGTGTGTGTGTGTGTGTTTGTTAGTCTGGCTTTGCAAAAAAGAAAAGAGAAGGTTAATTAATTTTCAGCTATAATAAACAATTTTATTTTTAATTTCACATTTGACCTCCTTGCTTTAGGAGAAGCCAGAGAAATGTGGAATCCAGGACTTAAAAGTACAGTAGAAGAAGTAGTATCAAAAGACTCTAGTGATGTTGCTATCCAGACAGATCCAGAACAGCTGATTGTTGCAATGGAAAGAGTTACAGTCGTTTTTGATAGGTTAGACAGATTATCACACTTCTACTGAGTTTTATCATGTTGTAAATCTAAAATGTAGATTTTAAAATTATCATGTTGATCCCCAACTTTTTAGTTTATTTTCTGTTTATTCTAATGCTGATTGTTTGACAATAATTAAACTTTAATTAAAAGAAGCAATAAAGTTTGAAGAATTAGAAATATAAATTAACTACAGTATAGAAGATTTATTGTTTATGTATAGATATTTAAGTTTTAAGCATTATACATGGATCACTTTGTTAGGGGTAATTATGTGTTATTAAAGAGCTTTTATTTAATTGTGCTATAAATTGGCAATATAAAGGTAGATGCTTTCTTGTGTTTACCAAGGGCAGAAAAAAGCTATTGATGAGTTCAGATTATATTGTACATCATCTTTAGTCATCTCATGCAGAGGCATCATCTAGTAAATATTCAAGAAATATATCTAGGTTCAAAAATGGGTAAATTTACATTTAGGTTTTTTCCTACACTTAAAGCTGAGTTGGATAACATCTGTTATTTCATATTATGAAATCTATTACAGTTCAATACTGCAGTACTCAGCTGATTACAGCATGGGATTTATCATCCAAATTATAAGATATTATTTCATATTTCTGTAAAAGTTAGGTATACATACATGATTATGTAGAATATAATTAATATTAAAAAATATAGAACTTTTTAAAAATTAATAATAATCTTAGAAAGCATCTTCGCATAATTCCTTTGAGAAGTGCATGTAGACATTAATTCTAGCAAACAAAATTGTATGCAAAATGTAACTACAAATTATTATAACCAAAAAATTAAAAAGCACCACAATAGTCCAGAAAATGTATGCAGTGTTATTAGTCTTCATAAGTACTTTGAAAGGTTTTTCTTTTCATTTATAAATATATCTTTAGCTCTTTATAATTTGTAAATATTGTCCAATCTACTCCTTTCAGCACTGTGCAAACTAAACAAATTAATTTTAGTTTTTTTTTGTGTTAACAGCAATATTTGTAATATTTATGTCATATAGGATAAGGCGAGGCTATCCATTTGAAGCAGAAGTTATATGCAAGGTTCTTCCTTATTGCCTGATGGAGTTTTTCCCAGCTCAAGATGTACTTAATAAAGTGATAGGAGAGTTTTTGTCTAGTCAACAACCTCATCCACAGTTGTTAGCAGGAATGGTATTTAATGTAAGCTACCTTAAACTTATATTTTGATCTGTTTTAATTGGCAGTTTTATCTATTGTTTTTAAAAGACTTTTAACTAAATATGAGGAAAAATAAACTTGTATGTAGTAGTTACTACTGTGTGGCCACTTTACTATTACCCCCCCCCCCCTCCCTATCTGATATTTGGTTGGACCATATTTCACTATGATAACAACATTAACTTGTTACAACAAACTCCACAAGATGCCAGAAAATGGGTTCTTCAGTTGTAGTCTGTTGACAAAATATTATAGTGGGGGATGATATATTCATGTTAATCTCAAAGAAACTCAATTGGTTTGAAATCCAGTGATTTTGCTGGCCATGAAAACTGAAGTCAGTATTATTTTTTTTTTATACCAGTTTCCAACAGTACAAACTGAGTAAAGTTTTGTACCCTTGGCCATACATGATAGGTAAGAAAGAAACCATACTATCCTACCCAAACCTTAAAAAAATTCCCACACCATTATACCACCTCCAACAGCTTACATTATTATAACAATACAGGCAAGGTCGAGGTCAAGTATGTCATCTAGTTTTATCCATATTTTTAGTATAGTGTCACTAGAGAAAGGGGAGAAATATGGCTTAAAAGAACATATCTGCTTTCAGTCATTCATTGTTCACTATTTTACCATTTTTACTTTACACATCACTGAAGCCTTGTATTCTCTTTGAATCTGATGAAAGCAGTTTTGGGCTGGTTGTTGGACTTTATATGAAGTTTTTTAATATCTTTCAGAAAGTATAGTCAATTTCTAACTACTATTGAAGAAATAATTCAGTTGGAACACATTATTATGTCTGTTGTACTGTATATACCTGTCCAATCTTATTTTCCCATAGTCAGTCATTAACAGTTGGTAACTACAGATTTCCAAGGAGAAATGTTCACTTTCATTTGGCACAGTTGATAAACTAATAATACGTTTCTTTGGATAGGTGATCAAAGCAGTGGTTTTGGTAATAATTTTCCTGGTAGATGGTCACCTACTACAATGCCCTTTTTGAAAGGTGAATAGCTCCCACCATCTTACATACTTACCTATCTCAGTCATCACATACTCAATCTATATTGCATATTAATTAACTGAGTGTTCTGTAAATGTGTGAATGAACTCCTATTAAAGTGGTCAGTCATTGTAGCTGTATACTGTATCCACAAATGATTTTATATATGTATATTTTATTGATGTTGAGCATTAAATTATCATTAGTATATCATTTTTGTTTTAGAAGATAGAAAATGTTTAGACTTAATTTATATGCCTTAAATAGGTAATGCTATTTTTGTATGCAGTCTTTATTTATTATTGATTTATTTTGTGTCAGTATGTAATCAATAATAATAACTTATGATTGTGTAAGCTAGAAACTTAGAGCAAAACTAAAAACCATCAACCTAACCATTAGTATAGCTCATTAAATATGCTTTTTTAATGTGTATACTTATAAAGATTAGAATGCATTGTTTCATATGTTGGGTACCCTCATTACTAACAATATGTTCAGCGATAAACCCAATAATATCTCACAAGGTTCAACCAGTTTAGGAGATTTAGGTCAGTTCTAAGTATAATTTATGCTAACAATGCAAATCAATCTTTATAATCTACTATCTAAAGACAGAAAGCCATCCGTCTGTCACCCCAATGTCTCAGCCATTGCGGTACCATTCGACACGCAACTTGTACAAGACAACAGTGCTTTCTGCTGCAACAAGCAACTTTGAGCATATAATTAGATCGTGATGAGTAATAAAATCAAATCGGGTATACATGTGCCCCATGCTTGGTATTGCCGGCTCTCAAAAAATATAATCATTGACTGAAATTCCCCATTACGTTTGGTTAGTTGTCAAGGAGACACGCTGATGCAACATCACCAAATTTTGTCCAATCGTAACTCTCGGCTACAACTCTATAATAACTTGCATGTTTTACCTGCAGCACATTTCAATTTTGAAAATGCCCAAATTAAAGCATGCTTCTTCAGCTGAGCAGGCTAATAAAGCCAAAATCAAGAAGACAGTCCATAGAGAAGACCCCAAAATGCATTATAAAACTCACTGCCTTTACCATCACAATTAATGATTTGCAAGGTCACACAGTAGACTAAGTAGGAATATATATTTGATAATCAGTTGTTTTCACGTTTCAGTCTATAATGATTTTTCAAGAAGAACAGTTGAACATAACAGAAGTCAAAATGCTAATCAAGCAATACTTAAAGGAGATGGCCGTACATATATAAATAAGTGTTGTTTTTCTGAAATACTAGAAATAGGATAGACATTTTCCATACACAGATTATTACTAGGTTATAATTAATTTTGAGAAGAAAGATTGATCATTATTTCCTGTCGTATGATGTGCATTTAGCTTGAAAAAGTATAATAATGAATGACAAATTAAACTAATTACAATCAATATAGTAACTAGTAGAACTGATATTATTGGTGAAAGTAACAATGAATAAACAAAGTTGCATACCTTACTTAAGTACTCACAAACACTAGTTCCCATATTGAACTTTAGTCATTGATGTATATTTCTTTGGAACTTGCACTCTGATTAACATCACACTTCACCAAATTTTAACCGTAACAATTAATACCATATGTTTTAGTTTAAGGCTTGCCATGTTGAATGCATTAACTTTCCCATGGCATAAACAAAAAACTATCTCTAGGAGGATAGAAAACAATAAGTAAAAAGTAAAATATAACCTTACCTGACCAATGTTATATAACAATGTTAAATGTAATAAGAAGAAAACAGCTAGCTAGCCATAATATGTAGTTTGTCTCTATGAATTATTTTGAACATTTATATGTATTGGATCTGTAATTATTGTTTGTAACAAGCTATATTTAAGCACAGACAACAATCAGAAATGGTATAAAAACATGTAATTTTGTATTTTCAGGTTTTTGATTGGCTTCATCAACATTCTTTAGAAGAAGTAATCCATGACTGGGTGATGTTATCTCTTTCTAACTTCACCCAGCGATCACCAGTTTCTATGGCGATATGGAGTCTTACTTGTTTCTTTGTCAGTGCTACTGCTACTCCTTGGTTAAGATCTCTGTATCCTTGTTTTGTAATAGATTTTAATTATTTCAATTGGCTAAAACTGCATCCTTCTTGTACCTTTATAGATATAATAGTATTGTCTGTTGTATGTCCTTGTAACTACTTTGCAGGGTTGGATGGATCTTCACCCAAATTGGTATGGAGGTTCATTAAGTCTATGTGGGGTTACATACAAATTTTTAGTTTTGTGGTTTTTATGGGTGTTTTTGCATTTTTTACCACTAATTTGCCTCCTGTAGATGGATCTTTATCAAATTTGGTTTTGAGGTTAATTGAGTCTATGGGGAGATACATACAAATTTTCACTTTTGCATTTTTTTATGGGCGTTATTGCAGTTTTTACCACTACTTCACCCCCTGTAGATGGATCTTCACTTCACCAAATTTGGCATGAAGGTTTGTTGGATCCATGTGGAGATACATGCAGATTCGCAGTTTCTCATTTTGTGTTTTGTAGTTTTTACAATTACATATAAGAATAGCAGCCTTTCCTGTCCTAAGATAACCTTTCATTAATTATGAACTTATGTAACTTCTTTCCACTAGACAGGTACTCCAGCTAGTTTGTAATATCTAAGAAAGTAATAAAAATGTGTATAAGAATTTTTTTAATATCAGGAAGACAGGATTTTTATTTATTAAAAAATTAATAGTGTATGAGATGATGAGTTTTTGTAAAAATTAAACTTATTTCATTTAGTTTTCTCTCAATTACATCAGAAGAATACAGTTACTGTATTTTACGTTTTTTACGTATTTAAATAACTATAGGCATTTATGCTTCAGAAAATTAAACTTATTTCATTTAGTTTTCTCTCAATTACATCAGGAGAACACAGTTACTGTATTTTAGGAAAACTGAACCAATTAATATACATTGTGTTGCCTAAGTCTACCCATGCATTCAGAGAACTGATAAAAGAGATGCCTCTCCTTTATTGGCTGACATACATTTACTTTTGCAAGACTTCCATTAGATATAGTCATTACAAAGACAGTACTGTCTTTCTTTTTTTGTTCTATATACAATTGTTACCATGAAATGTGTTCCAAAAATTATTGTTTTTTTAGTAATTTTAAAGCACCTTGTCATTTAGTTGAATTTATAAGGATAATTTGACATATGTAGATATGTTGAGAAAGAACTTAGTTAATCGAGTGAAAATGTATTCTTACCTCATCTTTTCCAAACTGACTTGTATGGTATTTTAGTGAATGTGTTGCATATTATGCTTTATTCATGCAACAATTGAAGTTTATAACCCTTTAAACTGGTATTTTAAAAACCTACTCTTTTATAAAACCTCATGGTGATTTCAGTCACAAAGTTATTGTGTGAACTGGAAGATGCATGTTTTGTTACCTGTAAAACATGTATTTGTAACTTAATAGATGCACCAATAATGTGTTAGTTCTGTTTTAACCCCATCACCGTGAACATTTTTTACTGTGCATGACACAAGGTTTTAGTGACTTGCATCTTAGCTAATAATCCATATTTTAATAGTATATAAGTTTTAAGTTCTTAAATTTATAAGGCAATATTTAAAAAAATACTGAATTTCCCCTAGTGTGACACGTTTTCTCTAGGCATCTTCTTTTCTCTGTGTTATCCATTATCCCTCCAATGACTACGAAATTTAACATAAATTACTGACTATAAAATCGTCATTGCTGAGACAAACCATGATTTTTATAGCCTTCCATTTTGTTTGGTTACAGAGCTATCAAATAGAAAATCAGACCCTTCCTGCCACACACACCTGTCACATCCTCTCTTTCAGGATTTGTTAATAGCTCTCTCTTATCTTTAATTATATATTATCTATAACCAATAGAAAGCCAAGGTTTTCATCTATGAAGTGACACATTATATAAAATTGTTTTCTGATCGTAGAATTGTCAATTTCACTGTTAGTACAAGCTTTGTTCCCACAGGAAAGATAATGACTAGCTTAGATGATTTTGTAACAATTCTTGTCACATAGTTAGAAAGCTAGAACAATTCTGAGAATCAGGGGAAATTGTCTATTTTTTGCATGTTATTAGTCTATGTTCTTTGATCATTACAGAATTAAATAATAATTATTTAGTGCATTACTACCAGTAGTATAAGAAAAAGTAGGGCTAAGTATCATCAAGAGCAAGAAAAAAGAGCATTCTGGTAAGTACTTTATTTCTTGTTTATCATGTTTATTCTTTATTTATTATTATAAAAGTTTACTAAAATGTAAAAGTAGGGATATCTTTAGGTTAGTTAAGGTTAGATTAGCTAAAATAAATAATAATAATAATACAAAAATGTTTCATGAGGCAGGCACTCGAGCAGCTGGTGGGTAACATAATTCTATAGTGTAACTTAGCTCCACGTTCCCCAAGTGATTTACAACTTATTATGGCACTAATAGTAGTTAGACATGGTTCAAAGGGCAATAAAAGGAGCAATAAAACAAAATTTAATTATGAATAGATACGTGCTGTTACAAGTTTAAAGATACTTAGGATAAACAAATGTAGTTTCATGTTAAAATTTGAAGTCATTCTGGAAAGAAAGAAAGGGTAATTTAGATTTGTTTAGATTTTTTTTGGTTGTTACGAGGTCAGTCAAATTGACAAATATTGTTATAAAGTTAGGGTAGAGAAAATAACAGATAAAATATAAAGTTTTGCTGAAAACAAGCATTTGAAATGTATTTAGGAGGTTTCTGAGATTACACAAATCAAATCTGATCATAACATGAAAATCACTCTGCACATGTTGCTATTCAAAACAAATACTCGATATATTCAAGGACAAATCTATTTTTAGTTTATTAATAATACTTTACTAAAAATATGACTTGCATGTGAAAGACTTATAATGTTTACTGAAAGACTGCCAAAGTTTGTGAAGATATATATACTATACTAAAAGTTAGTAGTATCAAATCTATAAAGACTATAGGAGTACAAAAAGGTCACGTGGTCAGTCAAATTGACTGAGCCCGTATTGAGAGAGTTAAATGGTATGCGACCATATAAATCCATTTAGTTTTTGCAGATACTGATATTTTAATATCAATATGTTTAGTTTCTTAAAGTTTTAATTTTACAACTAATGTTACAAAACATTTTAAATTAGAACAACATGAGAAAGAGGGTGTCATGTTTTTCCATTAGGGCCCCATTTTAATAAGGAGTAGACCCATGTCTAATATTTATCACGACCTATATGTTGGTGCATATCAATAGTATAGATCGCTTCCTCTGTTTCAAAGTAGTTCCAGATATTGTGATATTTGGGATTCAGTGTCTCAAAGCTAATTTCAGACATGGTATGGAGTTTGGTATAGTGGTTGAAGTATTGTCCTTTTTTCCAGAATTTTGTTGAAACAGTCAATACAACATTGTTCAAAATATAACAGTGTAACTGTTACCAAAGGATCATGTCCAAACTATTTAAAATGGGCCCATAACATGTGACTAATCCCACCATTTTCTGATTTAGAACATCACAAATACAAAGCATTTTCCAAGTTGCAATCAAACCCAGATTCATTCAATCACAGCAGCAAACGAATAGTGAGATTTGTTGCTTCACATTATTGTTTTCCATTATTCTTAACCAAAAATGTGGTATCCAAGATTTTATGAGAGCTGAAACCTTGAATTCATGGAAGTGATGAGTAGCATGTTCATGAAATCTTGCATTATGGAGCTTCCTGCACACTGAGGTTATTGTCAGCTGTGTGGTTTTGTTTCATAAAATATATCAAACTCACATGAATCAACAAATAATTAATTTTTAATGCTCAAGATAATATTCCTCTTTAGCATATCCTAGTTGTCTTACATCTCTTCAACATATTACTTACATAGATATCAGTGCAAGTAGACGGGTTAAAGTGTCATAACACCAGTTCGTTATCAAATAACCATCCTTTATGAAAATCCTTGTAGCACCTTGGTTCCAACTAGCTGGCTATGGCAGGTACAGCAACACACCATAAAATTTACATGCAAAGACAGTAAGGTGGGTACATCAAGAGCTTGGGGATATTCTGGCTGAATACTGTTAATAAAATAGTGAATGTAAATTGTATCTCAATTTAACCTTGACAGTTTGTAAAGCTTCCCTCATGTCCAAAAACGGATGGGTAAGCTAGAAGACCATGACAAAGAAATATTCTGTATCGCTGGATTGGACTTCAGGAATCAGGTTGGTGTTTGGCCAGAGATATAAGAATATTAAATATTGACAAATGTACAAATTGTTGTTTTCTATGCCAGTTTAATAAGTTGTATCCTTCATTTTTGAAATGTGTGGAATTACCAAAGCAAGAATAGAATTTATTAAAATATCAACATTTTTAGAAGAAGTGAATTCACACTAAAACTCTGCATACAAATCACCTTTGAAGAACAATCATATCAAATACTCTTTTATTAGTGTGTTATTCACTTTTCAAAAATTGAATTACAGTTGTACAAATAACATTTTTAAGTATTTGATTCACATATCAAGTTACTACTGTAATATTTAAATACTATTCTGCTTTTAATTAACATATCAAGTTACTAATGTAATATTTAAATACTATTTCACAGGTTTTTAATTCACAATTAAGATTACTACAGCAACATTAAAATACAACTTACATGTGTTTAATTTGAATATCAAGCTACTACTGTAACTTTAAGACTGTTCTGTTGTTTTCAGTGACTGTTTCATTTTATGTAGTTTTTACACCTAGGAAGATCTGTAGTCACAATCTACTTCCTTAAATGTAGTTATTGGAAATATTTTCTACCATAGGCCATCAACAAACCAAGGTTGCCTTTATAAAAAAAGAAAGAAAACAGACATTTTCCTAACCACAAATATTTATTGTGTTACACGTGGTCTCCAAAAAAGTTGATAATACCTGTATAGAAAGTGTTGCTTATTCTGGTTTTACAGCTTGTAATTTCTGGTTTCCATTCATCAGTTTAATTTCTTAGTATTTTTTTACAATGGTTATTGGGATCAACTGCAAAACATAGAAACAATATGCAAAAACCCTTGAGTTTGTACAAGTACTCGTTTATTTATACTTAAAGTTTAGTTTGAAAATGTAGGCAGATCATCAGGAAATTTTATTCATGTTTGAAATTAATTAGCTGTTTTTAACAGTGGTTTTAATCTTGTATTTTTCTTTACAGCTGACACAGACAGAACAATGTCAAGCTTTTCTTTCAACAATACAAGCAGTAGCTCAACCAGGAACACCATATGCAGATTTTCTCAGGTGTCTCTAGTGTCAATCTAGTTAATCTGGTGTTTTCAGATGATAACAGATTCTGCTGATCATCTGAACCTGATCAATTCTCTTTGTAAAGCCACAAATTAATGAAACCAATTCTGGTAATCTTAACAATATCTTTGTAAAGTCAAGAGTTTAAAAAAAATCTCTGTTCAGTGTAAAGAAATAATTTGTGTATTATCTTATGAGCTAAAACTGCTCTCTACTTTGCTATGAGCAGATTGACTCTGAAACTAAATCTGTTTGGTATGTAATTAAATACTTAAAGTAAGAATAAACAATAGAATTATTAAAATAATTACTATTCATAGGTTTATAATGGCCCCAAACTGGGTAGTCACTGTACAATGTCACACTTAAAAAACATGTAAATTAGTATGCTGTTTAGGTTCGTATTAAAATCTTCCCATGTTGTTAAAGCACTTACAATATTCAGTTATTCCATAAAGTCCAGATTTGACATGGACTCTGAAAGTGTCACATAATGTAGAAAATGTACCTTTCTACCCATAATACATCTCTATATGTGGAAAAAAATAAATTGTATATGTACTTTGACCATATTTGGCATATTGAAACTTAATATGCATATATATAATTTTCTATACATATAGAAAGGAAATAGTATTCCAGAATTAATGATATTGTAGCAGTTGTTACACAGAGCAGAATATGTAAAAAATACCAAATGATAAAGTAAAGCTCGATTTGTTGTATAATATTCAACTGTAATTAGAATCTTGGTGGCAGACATAAATTTTTCTCTCTCTTAAATATTGGGTAAATGTATATTAACACTCATCTTTAAACATTAGTTCTTATAGGTATGTGATTTATATTATTTCCCCTTAAATTCATATAGAAAAATATGCCATTATAAAATGAAAAGTAAAAAGAAATTTTTAAGTTGATATTCTTTATGAGTATGCTTACTGTATAGATATGTATCAAGGGAATCACAGTAAAAAATTTTAAATGATTTGTTGCTTTGTTGTGTAATTGTTATGACTATGGAGGTTACTTGTAAAATTATGCATTCCAAGAAAGAAGTAAAAACTTAAAAGATTTTACCCAAAAAAATTTCATTGTGTTTGATATCATAACCTCATAACCAAAATTTATATAATCAGATGTCAACAGAAAGTAATGAGGTTAACTACATTGTGAAATTGTTATATAATATACAAGTCAAACACACACAAAAATAAACAGAATTATTTTATTTTCTGTATAAAGTTTGGTAATTTTTGAAGAAACATTTAATTGCAGTATCTTATTTCAGTTGTCGCATATAGCTAAAACAATTGTGAAGATTATAAATACCATTTTACTGATGACGGCATAAAGATGATAAAACAGCTGTTACAAAGAAAATGTTGTTATTATTTTGAAAGTTACATTCATCACTGTAGTAAGTACTTGAATTATTTAATATGAGAGTTTATTCCTGTAGCATTTAAATTTATTAAATATGTCCAACTGAGTATTTGTTTTAAAACTGTTTAGAAAAACAAATGAAATTTATCGTTGTTGTGAAGTAAATTAAAGAAGAAATACAAAACTTTGTTGTATACATTTATAAAAAATTAAACAACACATCTTTTTCAAGTTTTCTTGATCATCTTATTAAAATGTTTACAGTTTATATAGTTTAAATACATAAAAAATGGAAAAAAGATTGAGACAGCATCATTGGAAGAGTTTAGTGGCATGTTGTAATACTTAAAAATAGAAATCTGTATTTAACATTGCTGAAACAGTTTGACAACATCATTAGTAAGTGTATTTATCAGTCTTTATAATTGTTCTTACATAACATTAGGATACAGTAAGACATATATATTGAACTGATAAAAACAGTAGCAGAAACAATTCAGTTAGCATGACCTAAAAAGTATGAAACAAGTTGAGCATTAATGTATCTTGTTTGTAATATTCTAAAGTAATGTGTTTGATATAATGCATAATTTCTGTCTTCAAGTTTTATACATTTATGGTGGTGTTATTTCACCATTTGTAATTATAAGAAAACCATATTAAACAACTATGTAATTGAAAATCATCATATCATTATCATTCTGATGAGCCCTTGAGTTAAAAAGTAAATAATGTTCAACATGATGAGTAAACTGGAATGAACAGCAACTGCCTGTTGTAAAAAACATTCAACCTCTTAGTAGCTAAACCTAAAATATACATCTATAATAGTAATATACATTCACTAATTTGGGTATGTACTTATGGTTAGACCAGATTGAATTCAAGGATTCATTTTTTGCAACCAATTACCACAGAAGCATGCTCTGCAGCTTGGGGCTGTGAGTGCTCTATAAGAGTGATGTAAAATCCAACTATTCAGTCAAACAAGAATGTGTGATATATGAATATACAATGAATTTCTATCTTCATGTACTATGATATTATTTATCCTTTATCTTGTATATGTATATTTCATATAACACGTGTTTTAGAAAGCCATTAAGTTAATTTTATTCTGGCTGCCTTTGTTCCTTTGTCATTCATAAGTTGTTAATACTTGTTCTGCCAATGAGTGGTGTTGCTGCAATACTGCACATTGCTCAAGGATAATGATAGCAGTGTCTTCCACTGGTAAGTCAGGTAATATCTCAAGGTTGTGGATGTCCTTTATGTTTAATGTGATTGACAAACAGTGATTTAGGTGGTGCACACATCCTGAGAATGTAAGTACTATAGTATGTGTTATATAATAGTATGATATCTTAACCAACTTTCTCTCTCTCAAGCCCTTAGTTTGGTAAGTGAACTTTAAGTTCTTTCCTTGTAAACAGTAATACTTGCCTAACGTTTAACCTGTAAGTGTAATATTAAATAATTCTTTTTAAACATCTTTATAAGGTTTTAGGAGAGTTTGGAGGATTAGATATTTAGTAACGGTACTGTACTTCATCCTGTGCACATTATTTTATTTGTTTTTTGCATGTCCAGTCTCTTTCTTTCCCAAATTACAGAGTCAGAGAACCAAGAATTACTTTGTAATAAATATCTTGTTGAATCTCCTGTTATTCTTCAGACCTATCCCATCATCCTAAGGTTAACTAAGTTTCACCTGAATATATTATAGAAGTGATAGAAAGGAGAACGTTTTGGTGCCTTGACCACAGGATATATTTTTGCAGTTTTCTGCTAAAGTGTGTATTGCCCTTTACTTCTACTTTTGTCACCCTTGTGTGAAATAAGTTGTAAATGGCTTCACTGTTATGGAAATTCCATATTCCACAACTAGAAGGGCTTACAACCAAGAGAAAGACTAGGTCACTGAAAGGAGACAGTTCTGCAAGGGAGTTGTCAGGTCTAGAAGTCCTCTCATGGATTGCCAGACTTTCAACCTGGATATACTGCAAGCATACATATTTTTATACATCACATTCTCACAAACTAGGAAAAAATAAAATATTAATAAATATGTTTCTTTATCAAGTGTTTTGAAGATAATGTATATTTTTAAATGCATTCTTTTTGCATTACTTCCATAGACTAGCGGGAATTGGTTTTAATGTGATTCCGGCAATATTTCTAACATTAATTCATAATTTTGTACTTGTATGGTTGATAGGTAGAAGGGTGAGCTGACAATAAAGTTTATAAAACACTAAACATTTTGTAATTTTTTTTGTAAATTCTCATTTTCTAGAAAACAGTTATAAACATTTAATAAGGGAACATGTGCAAAATAGGATTATAAAAATGCTGAGATTACATCCTAAAGAGGATAACAACATATATAGTAGAAAAGACATTTAGAAGGTTGTATTCTTAATATGCATATTAAAATATTAACAATAATAATTACAATTGTAATACATATTTTTTGTACATTTGTGGCATATTCTCTGTATTTTCTATCTACAAAACTGTGGTACTTGCAGTTAAACCAGTTACTCAAGAGTGTAAATTGGGTAAGTTCAACAAGATATATTGCTAAGTAATACTGAGTTCGACTAAAACTAACTGGGCATTTGGTAAGAAATGAATGGTCTGGACATAAAGTTTAACAAACAATAAAACAATCTTTATACAACACAGTTCAACAGCAAGCATACTTTATCTTATAGATGACAGACAATCGCCTTTACTGTAGTTGTGAATTGATCAGATTTGTTCTACTCCCTTGAGATTATTGCGAAGCTGACCAGTTCACTCAAAATGATGTTCCAGACTGAACGAATCTCATGTTACTTAGTTGAATTGATAATGTAAGACTTGCCAAGAACATCTAGCACTGTATACATGATTGGTCTTTCTCATGCAAAGTTGTGCTGTACTTCATTTATTCATTTTTTTCAATTAGTGTTTCTGTAGTAGCTTACCACAATAACTTATCTTTGTTTATTGATGTTTTTCTCATTTTTGACTTCTTCGTGATTTATGACGAATTCCGAAGTTTGTGTTTTGCAACTTCAGATATTACTGCTGCAACTTGGAGTGTCATTACGGGTGTGGAGATGTTTAATAAGAAATTTTCGGCTATCATTCATTGGGTGATTGATTGTAAAATGAGGGGGGGGATACACTTTCCCTCCTTCCTCCTATTTGGCCCTATACCTTCACACATGGTTTTGTTGCTCTTTGGATTGTATTGGGAAGGATGCTGTCCTTTCACAGATTTCTCCACCTTCCCCATATTTTTGTGACTTCCAAATGGTTCTTTTTCTCCATCAGTTTGTTTTTGAAGATTTTCCAGAGTCTTTGAAATCATGAGTAGACTCTGTGAGTCCACATTCGACTCTTTAGTCTTTGGTTACTCGCTTTTCTCATTCTGATACCATTACTTCTCCCATAACTGTTTCTCGTCCTGCAACCTCCTGTTCTTTACCAGTTCCTAACACCAGGGGTTCAACATTTCATTGTGTGTCTTATAGTTGGGTTCATTGTTGCCAGCAGTTCTAGTGACTTTTGTATGGTTTATGGTCTGGTGGGAAAACATTTGACTGATTTTGTTCCCCTGTTGTGATTATTCACTACTGATTCTTGGGTGATCCAAGTTTTTCCTCTCCTTTTCCTTTCCCATCCACCTTTGTCTCCTGTACTGACTTCCTTCCCATTAACTTGGGATCCAACTACCTGTCAGAGTCTATCTAAGGTTGTGCAGACCCTTCTATCACTGAGATCTATCATGCCTATCAACCAACCTTCTCTGGGATTTTATTCTAGGTTTTTTGTACAGTGATTCATCTGTCCTGCCTAAACCAATTTCTGGTTCTTCCCTGATTTCCCATGTAATCCTTTATCACAATCAAGGACTATTGATGCTCAAGGTAGATGTTTCAAATGCCTATCTCCATATTCATATTTCTCATCAGTTCAGATACTATTTTTGCTTTGTCCACTACAGGGCTATCTATCAATTTTACACCTGGTCTTTTGGGCTTGCATCATATGTATTTTACTGGGTGGTCACGGCTTTTGCCCAACTTCTGTATACTCTACAGTTGTGTTTACACCATTACTTGGACGACTGGTTCCTTTTAACTCGTTCTACTCTACTGACAGTAGTAGCTTGTGTTGGTTAGATTCTAAAGTTGGTAAGTTTCCTCTTGCCTTTCCATTATGTTTTCACTTGGGTGTATTTTTCAACACCTCTCTCATTTGGGCCCATCCTTCTCCACTTCACCATTTGATAATGTTTTCCATTCTCCATGCATTTACTGCTTCCTCAGTTTCAGCACAAAAGGTTCTGCTGCTTTTGAGAACTTGGGCTTCTGTGGAAGTCCTTATTCCTTTGGGTCAGGTACTTATGTGTTTTCTTCAGAGGTCTCTGCATGACCCATAGAATCTTGCTTGTGATCCCTTGAATTCCCCAGTTACCCTTTCTCCTTCCCTGCATTTGTGGTTGAACAAGGACAGCATAACAATGGGAGTACCACTTCCTCCACCTCATCTGGTTTTGCATCGAATCACTGATGCTTCTCTCCAAGGTTGAGCTGTGTGGGTTCATCA